ACCGCTTTTAACATCATAATCTTTATTTTCTAAAAAAGAAAGGACATTCAATCTTCTTTATGAAATGGTTACCAATTGTGCATGGGGTCAAAGCAATTTTGTCAACTTCCGAAGTGTAGTAAGGAGGTCAGATTAATCTGTATTTTCAGCAGGGATCTACATCACAATTAGGCTATTTCATACAGGGCCAGAGAAGAAGCTATGATTCAGTGTTTTATCACATTTTCTTTTCAGATAATATATTTGCAAAATGTCAGTGATTCTCTTAATGTTCACTCATCCCCAAATTCACTATAATAACTAGCATTTGCAAAGAAATAAAGAGCACAAAATAATTTCTTTAAATAATGCAAACATTTCTTCATTAGACTTATACATATTTGAATCAATGGGAGAAAATGGTCAAATTTACAACCTTTTTGAATTAGAAGGCTATGACACTAGTACAATATATATCCTCTTTAAAATGTCATATTGGCACTTTAGAACTTTCTAAAAAATAATCTAAGGAACGATATATGGTGGATTTATGGTTCAATATAAAAACATGATTTTAGATGTCTGTGTAGCATATACTAAATAATTTGCACAGATATGGGGGACTTTGGTATGTCTTGGGTAGCACAAAGTCATTATTATTCACTTGATAAATAATTGAATTTGGTTCACAAAATAGGTTTAGGGATACCAAAGAACATGTCTAAATATGCATTGTAAATATCAAACACCCTGCCTGCAATAACTTTGTACATTATCAATTTATAGAATTTTGTATAACAATGTTATTTCTCTTTCAGTTTATAAAAGATCTAACCTCAAAATTAGATATATATTTTTAATTTTTCCTATATTCAATATATTAGATTTTCTTTAATGAAGCAGTAGTTATTGTGTATCTTACTTGTGTCTTGCATGTTAGACACAGTTTTGAATAAAACAGACTTAATGAAATGTAGAACCAGATGAGATGAGCCATTGTTTTTGAAAAAAGACAACTTTTAATTTTAATCTATTTTCACCAGAATATAAATTAAAATTAGGAAAAATAATGGAAGTTAACTGATCAATGTTCTTGGCAATTTCATGGTACTTTTATTTTTCAGATCAATTTTAAAAATATTCATTTTTCTAGGGTTGATGCTGTAGATGTAGCACTGAAAAATATCCCCTACCTTCATGGAGTTTAATATAATATTTCAGTTAATATTGTGATATATATATATATATATTCAACATATTAAAAATAGTGTGGTTTACAATTTACTTAAAATACAAAATGATTCATAATATTTTCACTTGACTTGTATTAATCTAGTAGAAAATGTTTGAGACAAAACATATTTAAGTGTTTACTGGAATTTTTCAGTAATGAAATGCTTTTTTCATAGAATGTCATATTTAATATATCTTACTATATTTAACCATGACATTTATTAAGAAGACACAGTATTGTTTTCTGAACTTGCTGGAGATATTTTTATGTAATAAAAGAAAATTCATCGTAGCTTTTTCTACCAATTATTCCAATGGCCAGGAATCTAATTGTGTCCCTCTCAATTTACTCCAATATATTAGCTACAATGGAAGTGAATTGCAATGGAATGAGATGGCATTGAGCTTATTTACTTATTCAACATTTTTTGAGACTTTTAACTCTTCTAGATTGCATATATCTTTGAATATCAATTAAATTTATACCTCATTTGCTTATCATGCTTAGAATTAGAATTTGTCTTTTTTTGTCATGGTTTTAAAATTTAATTATCATTTTATTTCATGATAGCAGGAAGGAAACTCTTGATGTAACAGAGATGGTACCTTCCAATAAATCTTTAATAATACTGATGGAAAGTTCTGCTGTTCTTGTGTTAGCAAAGATAGATCCAAAGTATAGCCAGACTTTGTTGTTGTTTTTTTTGTATCTTCTTAGGCAAATATCTTATGAAGCTGTTCTCTTTTTCTAGTTCTTATCCCTCTTTCTAATAAAAAATGTAATCTTGTCTCTATGGTTAACCAAGGCAGAAACATTAGTTATCCCTTTTGTCCAGTAAATAATCAGTACTTTAACAACTTTCTTATAGGTCAATACCTTTCCTAGAATTTTCTTATTCCAGAAATAAATCTAACTAAATATTTCCCCATAAAACATTAAATTAATATTTAAAAATCATGTAACATTATAAAATCATTGTAAACTATACAAATAAATTTATTTTTTAAATTATATCCTGATATAACTAGGTAATCAAGTTGATAAAAAGAAAATGTAAGGTATAGTATACATTAAAGTTATCCTGTAATCGTCAATAAAATACACATTTTCTGATCGTGGGGTTTGACATTCAACAAATAATAGTTCTAAGCCAAACATATAGGAAAAAAATTATTTTCAGAGAAAATACACACAGACATGCATAAACTATCCATAATTAAATACAAAAAAATTATAACTCCTCCTGATTAAAACTGCTAGGAGATGCTGGGTTTTGAATTTAGGATGACAAAAGTATCCAGACTTATGACTGTAGTCTCAAGTTGAAATTTTAACATGTAAGATTATACTGGCATTATTAATGTCTCCTTTCTAAATCCTTTTCAAAGTATAAACCAAGCTTTTGAACAGAATATTTCTAAGAAATAAATGTAAACATTGGTGGAAGATTAATATTGTAGAAGAAAAGGATTTGATGAGATTATTATTCAATATAATATCTGATTCTATTAGAATATTTCTAGATAGGAAGTTAGAGATGGATACTGTGTTCCTTCAGTACAAACTATTTGAATTAAAATGTGACTCCTGAAAAATGCAGGCTCTTTTTACAATGTGTGAGCTATTACTTTTCACTTTTTTTAAAGTCGAACGTTCCAAATGTAGACTGAAGAATAACCTTTATTTCTTGGATAGAAATCAAAATCTCCTTTTTTTGTCACCTAATGAAGAATTATTCCTGTAGAAGAAGAGCATTCCCTAATGTCTCATGAGAAAGCTATTAGTATGAGATCGTCACATTTCTTAGATAGGAACTTAATGCCAAACATTAATGTAGACATTCATTTCCACAATCGTTCTTGCATCTTACATCTCCCTTCTGCTTTGATGAAGGTTATATGGGTAGGTTGTGAAAAATAATGAGCTGAGTTTTAGAAGTAGAAAGATTATCTAATTCCTTATTGTTTATTTTTTTCTCACTTGAAAAAATGGAGCCATAGTCAGTGAAAGGATTGATGATGGAAATCCAAGTGATTTTAAATGTGGAAAGCCATGCAGTAACAAAATAAATCTGGAGGATTTTATACATGCAACACAGTATGGCCATTTAGATGTGCCTAGCAGTCTCACTTTCACAAATACCCCTTTTCTGGTGTCACCTATTCCTTTCATATTTTATCACCCTCATTGTTTTCAGCTGACTCGTAAAAATGTAGCATGGGATACTGAACAGGAGAGATGATTCTCTCAAGGCCACGAAGGGAGAGAGAGTCACTTGCCTCCCAATATCCTCTTCTTCCTCACTAACACGAGTGCTTGTTTAGATTCTGCTCAAGAAGCAATATGTCCACCTAAATACTTGCTTCCTCAGCCTCTCTTGCAGAACAATGGCCATGAGAGATCGTGCTGGCCAATGAATACATATTTAATCCCTGAGGAGAGCATCTCTTCCCAAAGAGATAGTTGGTGCCTTACTAGGAGGAAGTATCTTGCTTGTTCTCCTTTCCTCACATGCCTTGACTTCAGACTAACTCCTTTAGATGCAGCAGCCCTCTTGTGCCTGGAGAGAATAAAGCCAACACACAGAACAGGTTATGTGTACTGTGGAGCAGCCAAACTAATATCTGCAACTGCCTTCTGCAGGTTTCTTATTATTATGTGAGAAAAACCATCCCTTAGCTACTATTAGTTCAGTTTTTGTACTTGTAACTGCATGCTTTATAGACTGACATATGACTTTATCTTAAGTTGTTATTTTTATTAAATAAGAGGAAGAAATGTGGTAGATATTGAGCAGGAAGATGCTATGTATATTTCTAACCAATTTCTTCAAAAAATAACAATAGTATTTGCAGAAGAATGTTAACTTTATTTCTGAATAACTTAAAGAGAATCGATGTATATGAACAACCATTGTTCAGGGAGACAAGTTACCTGATCAAGGCAAGTGTTGTGAAATAGAGAAACAAGTAAAAATTGGCATTAATGTATTTTATCCCATGGTCATACCATTGTTCCCATGGTCAAACCATAGTGTTTTTATTCTATCTTGCATTGTGTTGTTCTCAAGGAATGATTGGCAGTTCTATTGATTCCATCCAAGACAAAGAATGTTTTTTGTGTTTTGTTTTTTTGATGATTGGAGCCTTCATTAGTTTTAGCTTCCATTTGGGACTAATTATTTACCCATTGACTCTAGTCAATGTCACATTGACTGAAACAATTTTTTGTAAGGGAAATTGGATAACTTGTACCAAAAGTCTTAAAAATATTTTTAAAATGTATGATTTTATAATGTCATTTGTGGAAATTTATTTTAAAAAACTAATCTGAGATAAACAAGTTAAATGACCAAAAAGAGGGGATTCATTAATAAGTACTATTTAATTTATTCTTTGGCATATTGTATTCTCACTAGAAATAATGTAGAATGTTATTTGATTATCACTAATTACTCACCAATCACTATTATAATTAGCAGGCTATGCAATATTATATGTAATATTACCCCAATTTCAGGAAAAGAGATTAGTAGCATCTATGCCAAAATGTTAAGAATGTTTTCTCTCTGAACATTTGGGTTATGGGTGTTTGTTTGTTTGTATTTTTTATCTTTTCAATTTTTCCATTTAATTTATATGACTCAGAAAAATATGTTTAAAGATATACTGGCTATTAACGAAGTAACTCTAACATTTAAAATATTTTAAGGGTAACTCATTTTTATTGACTACCTTTTCATCAACAAAAGGCTTGACAACAAATCTGTTTGTTTGTTTTAATACAGAAATCCTAAATGGTGGAGTCTATGTAGACCAGAACAAATTTCTTTGTTATGCAAACACAATTCATTGGCAAGATATTGTTCGGAATCCATGGCCTTCCAACTTGACTCTGGTGTCAACAAATGGTAGCTCAGGATGTGAGTAGCATTACCCTTTTTAATGTTTGAAAATGTCCTTCTACTTCTTGTGAAAATGAACAGCTTTTGTTTATCATGCCATTGATAATATTTTGATTTTTGATTATATCCATTGAACTGTGCTGTTTTATACAACAGAACAATCTTTTACTTGAAATTTACTCTCCTTTTTGGAATGATACTTCCCCTTTACAAATTACTATTTTCTTAACATGACATTTTTCAATAAATCAAAATTATGTTACCATATTTGCAACTTATAAATATGTGCCCCATTGTCCATAAACTTAAGACTGATGTCTAACTACTGTTTCACCACTGAGATTAAGGTAGTAGAACAACAATGTGCTTTCCTATTTATTATAAATTTTAAAAATTAAAAACTATTGAACATTTTAAGATTCCTAAGCCGTCATTTTCCCCTAAAATCCTCATGACAATCCCAAACACAATAAGTAGAGTGTAAAAATATATACTTTATATAGGAGAAATATATGTTATATTCTGGTTTTAGTCTGCAAATAAACAACCCAATTTACCAATCTTAAAATGTATTATTTCTACCATAGAGAATTTATCAGATTAAAAGTGTTCAATATAATTAAATTATAAGCAAATAATATTCAATCATTAAAACTTTTGAAAATTTTTCTGTCAAGAATCGGTGTCATTTTCATAAAGGAGGCTATGTTGTCCCCATATTTACTATTACTGATGTTTGTATGAGAATATAATCTTCATTACGTGTTAACCTGGGTTTTATATTTCTTATCTATCATTATATATTTCCCACCTGAAATCATAACTATCGTCACACAGTTCAACAATTATTTGAAATTGTACTCATTGTGTTATGATGCTTTATAGGAAATCAAACTCCAAGGGACAAGTATTAAGTTTCATTACAGTCCTAACAATTTAATGGGGAGATATGAATACATTTGATTCAAACTGACAGCTGTGTTTCAGTAAATGGCTGAAACATGTTTTAAGCAGAGTAACATAATTTTCTTCTGCTTTTGAGCAGAAATTTGTATGTGATTTCATCTTTACAGTGTTCAAGTTGCCTACCTCATAAAATTATATGAGAATAAAAGGTTGAATCTGTTCACACTAACAAGGCAAATGATATGTTTCAGAAATGGCTTCCATGTTCAGTCTGCTCAGCCTATGGTACATTATGTATAGAAAATGCATAATGGTTTTATAAGAGGAATGGCCCACTGACTGTCTGCTTGTTAGAGGGACTAATGCATGAACAAGATCAGACAGGAATAAAGCCCAAGACAGAAGGCAAAAGGAAGTGTGTCCACCAGCCATACAGAATGTGGAAGAAAAAAGGTCTGAGGGGCTTGCTGCACTTTCACAGATGGTATCTCTTTGTGTTGTTCTTTTCAGAGTGAATTTGGATGGTTGTGCCTATAATTAGGCAACTAGAGCTGCATTTCTTTTTGCCTGGAAGTAATTGCAAGCACAAAAATTATAAATGCAAAGTAGAGTCATAATGAATGGTACTTTGCAAATTAACCACCAATTGCTTATCAAAGTTTTATTCTTTATATACTAGTTCTATTTGCTGACTCATTATATATAGTGCATATCACCATAATTGATGATAATGAATTGGTTGGTCTTTGAATATTGATCACCTATGTTCTTATCCTCAGTTTCTTCCTTGACTTTCTTCCCATGGGTGATCACAGATACTCTTGTGGTTTTAAATGCAACTTCTACCCTGCTGACTCCGAGAGCCACACACCACCAACCAGTCACCTAAGTTTAAAACAGGATAGTCATCATTGACTTCACTTTTTCTTTGGTCTTGGAATTTATTTAATCATTAAATCATGGTAAATTTGCTTATTTCTTTATTTTGCATAGTTCTTATTTCCATTACTCTAGCTCAAGACTTCATCTGTTGCCAGAGTTACTGAAAAAAGAGTTCTCTGAATTCTTAATATTTTTTGAGACCATGGACCCTGTGGCAGTCTAGTGAAACCCATAGTCCCCTTGTCATAATATTTTAAATAAATAAAAAACACAAAAATAAAGTTGTTATATTTTAAATTCATAAAATTAATACATTTATGAAATATATTACAAAGGATTACAATAAAATTATATTAAATACATGTATCATCATATTTATAAAGTAAATATATGATATAGTAAGTGCTTATTCAGTTGTACATGAAATAAAAAATTCTAATAGTATAATTAATATGTAGTGGAGTTTTGAAGCAGTGATAGGCATAAGTACTATTTTTAAAGGACAGTTTCTTTAATAAATAGTGTTGAGAAAACTAGATAGCCACAAGTTTAACGTTAGACTTTTATCTTACATTATATATAAAGATAATTCAAAATTGATTCAAGACCTAAATATGAGACCCCAAACTATAAGACTTCTAGAAGAAAACATGGAGGAAAAGCTCATGACATTGGATTTTCCAAAGATTATTGAAGATGACATTAAAAGCCTAGTCAACAAAAGCAAAATGGGCCTACATCCAACTTAAAACTATGTTCATCAAGGGATATAATCAAAGAGTAAAAATACAACTTACAGAATGGGAGGAGATATTTATAAATCATATATCTGATAAGGAGTTAATATCCTACAATTCAACAATAACAACAAAATAACCTGATTCAAGAACTGGCAAAAGATCGCAATAGACATTTCTCCAAAGATGATATGCAAATAGCAATAAGCATACAAAAAGATAGTCACATCAGTAGTTATTAGAGAAATGCAAATAAACACCATGAAATATTACTTCACACCTATTAGAATGACTACTATCAAAATACTAGGAAAATAGTAAATTTTAGTGAAGATGTGCAGAAATTACACACCTGTGCAGTTTCGTTGAAATTGCTAAATAGCACAATTGCTATGGAAAATGGTATGGTGGTTCCTCAAAATTTTAAAATAGAACTACCATATCATCCACCAATCCCATTTCTTATTATATATCCAAAAAAATGGAAAACGGGACTTCAAAGAGATATTTACACACCTATATGCATAGTAGCTTTATTCACACCTAGAGGCCCAGCACATGGATTCGTACATCCCGTCTGAGTGGGGTCCCTCAGCCTGGCCTGTGGGATCTGACCTAACCCAGCTCTCTGACATGCCCTGAGGGATCCTGGATTGTGAGAGGGCACAGGCCAGGCCAAGGTGCACCACTAATTCTGAATTGTTTTCTAAAACCCAAACCAGCCCTAACCAGTTTGGTTCAGTGGATAGAGCGTCGGCGGCTCTATCCCGGGTTTGATTTTGGTCAAGGGCATGTACCTTGGTTGCGGGCACATCCCCAGTAGGGGGTGTGCGGGAGGCAGCTGATTGATGTTTCTCTCTCATCGATGTTTCTAACTCTCTATTGCTCTCCCTTCCTCTCTGCAAAAAATCAATAAGATATATTAAAAAAACACACCCAAACCAGCTAATGATAGAAATGACAGTGTGTGGGAATTGGCAAATACATAAAAGAGCATTAAGTTCACAAATATAAGTCCAGGAGTAATTATTTGTTTAAACCAGATGGTCTGCCTGAGTTAAATCAATTAGGGAAATTTGAAACTACATTTTTGTTTTAATGACTCATATATCTTAAAAATTGCTCACTCTTTACTAATATTGCATATTGTGTCCCATATAGATAACTTCCTTGAACTAGAAAATAATTGTCTCAAAATAGAGTAGAATTAAAACTGATATTTTTACCAACATTGTTACTTCTTCAACATTAAAATCTTTACATAAAATAGAAGCACTCATCTAAGTTTGAACTTTTGTAGAAGAGTTAAAAAAAAAAGTAGCAGGAAGGTATGCCCACAATGCATTTCAATACAGCTTCAATTGATGTGTATTATATATGCAGATAACCAGTTCCACACAAACGCAAACATAGTCAAATCATGCATACTCTTCTCAAAAGATTTTTACATGAGAGCTTAAATTAAGGAAATAGGAATATCTACACTAATAAAAGAGAAACATGGTAATTAGCGTACGACCGCTACCCTTCCCATTGGCTAATCAGCATATCCTTATGCAAATTAACTGTCAGCCAAGATGGCGGCCGGCAGCCAGGCAGCTGGAAGCGAACATGAGGCTTGCTTGCTCCAGGGACTGCAGACTCCAACATAGGGCCCGGCCAGCGTGGCCTCTGAGCTGGCAGTTTGAAACATTCTAACAAATATAGAAGCTAAACAAAACCCCAGAAACCAGCTTTCAGCCAGCCAGGATCTCAAATCAATGATTCTCTCTTACCATTGATGTTTCTATCTCTTCCTCTCCCTTCCTCTCTGAAATCAATAAAAAAATATATAAAAAAGATCATGTAGGAATTCAGTTACAATTATTCTAAACAAAATATTAGCAAATAAAACTAATAGAATCTAGGATGTATTTCAAGTGTAGCTCTGCTGTCTTTTTTTTTTTTAATTCTCACCTGAGGATATTTTTTCCTTTTTTCTTTTTTAGAGAGCGTGGTGTGAAAGGGAGGACAGAGGGAGGGAGATAGAGAGTGAGAGAGAGAGAGAGAGAGAGAGAGAGAGAGAGAGAGAGAGAGATTAACATGGATGTGAGAGAGACACACTATTGATTGCCTCCCACAGTAAGCACCCCCAACAGGGATTAAACCTGCCATGGAGGTACATGCTCTTGACCAGCAATGGAACCTGCAACCCTTCAGTCCATAGGCTGACGCTCTAACCAGAGTCAAATGGGCACAGCTCTGCTGTCTTTTTAATGTTATTAATGAGAATAAGAACTTGAACCTGACTGATATGTGAGAGTCCATGAGACTGTAATCATAAGAAGATTTCCATAAAACTCAGGCAAGGATATCCCTCTGATCATTTCCAAACCTTGGAGTACCAGCTCCTTTATTGTTCCTGGGTCTTTACCTCTTCTCCTGGTAAAGGCTCATTTCATCTTCTGTTTCTGAATTAGTGGAATCAAATTGTTTCATAAGGAAATGCCCCTT